GTACTTTGTACAAGAGAAATGTTAGTACAATCGACCAAAAGTGGCTGAAAATGTCAAAAAAAGTTTGCTTTGTGGTTGGCTAATAATGCTGTTTTAGTCACTAAATTTCTATCGTGGAAAAACTGCTCTTAAATTTTGTATGGAATACAACTGAGTATGAATAGCTGTGTGTGGTAACACAGTACAGTATGTACAGCTCAGTTAGTAACATTACCACACATTTTTTTTTTCTATTAGTTACAGCTTTTACTGTAAGTAATATTTATTTTCAAAACAGGTATGACATTTCAATCACTGGTGCAATCATTCTCAAGTACAAAAGTTTTAACGGTAAAAAAACGTTTAGTATTTAAATCAACAATCAATGTAAAAAAATTTTTAAATGTATAGATATTTAATCAGTAGGTCAACTCAAAACGAAACTATTACCACACATTGTATTGCACGATGATTGTATGCATGTATGTGTGTGTGTGTGTGTGTGTGTATATATATATATATATATATATTCCTTAAAATACTATGTAACATTAGCATGCTTTGGGCTTATTTTTTCTAATGTAAAAAAACTTCCCAGAAAATAAGGTGTCAAAAATTAGTTGAATAAAGTTTCCAAATTGCCACCTAAACATTAATTGTACTTTTTGCTAATAAATAAGATATAAAAATATCAAAATTGTAATAGGGTCTTTGTACATCAATATTGTCATAATTGGATCTTTTTTTGAGGGTCTATGTTTTTTTGGGGGGGGGGCAACCAATATAGCCTCACAGACAACCTCTGATATAGGTGAGGTTGTCCAAAGGATGAAATGGAAATTTCCTCAAAATCAAGCCCTGATTCACTATGTTCAAACGTACAAATAATGAAATACAATAAACAAAAAAACATCATCTTTGTGTGAAATTAACCATTTACAAAAAATTATACCAAAACACTCTCCTCTACACAAGTGGTATCTTACAGATATCTAGTTCAAATCAAAACATTTTTTTTTTTAAATCTTAAACAACATTTTTTTTTTCTCACTCATCTTACATTTTTTCAAAAAATATAATCAATCTGAAAATATAACAATTTAACTAACAGCACTTACTTCCTGAGATTTCTCGATATTATTACTGCCAATTTCTATGGAACGAAGTAGTTTATTCAAGCTTTCTCCTTCAGAATCCAGAAGTTCCACTGTTACTGGTTCAGTTTTAGAATCATTGATTTTCATAATCCACAACTGGCTAGTTAAGGCAGACTTCACATCAGCTGTCATTACACTATCAGGAACATCATCCAATTTCACTTTAATGCAAAAAACTGGGACATTACCAAACTCTTCTGGAAGATCACAAATATCACTTTCAGCTACCTCATCCGAGTTGCCATAGTCTAGAAAATGTACAATATGTGAAGAATCTTTTCTTTTAGTAACAGATGCTCTGTACCATTGTTGATCTTCTTTAAACTTAGCAGAAACTACTACATCCACAGGAATACTGGTGCTTCGTAATGATATCGAATTGCAGTGTTGGTTAAGCTTCTGCATCATCTTTTGTAAATGTGGAGCATCAGAGAACTTATGAACATAGAAAGAATTTTCAGGATCAATCCACACAACCTGAATTTCAGACTGATCCCATCCAGACACAATTTGTTCTTTCATGTTCTCTCGTTTTATCCACTTATTTTTTGGAGATATTATTGTAGGTTTGGCAACAGATGAAACTGCCATGACTTTGGATGATACTTGGGTGACTGAAGGAAAGTTTGGATTGAAATGCTCCCCAAGATTTTCACAGATTGACTGATTTTTTACTGGATGACTAGCAATCAGTGATTCTGAAGAGGTAGTCTCATTTTTTGTAATTAAAGTAGTTTGGCCTATCAAAATGTCATAGTACCAAGGTTCACCTTCTAAGAAGCAAATACAGTTCCCACTATCATTTGTAATCTCAAATGTCACTTTTGCTTTTTCAAGACTTTTAACTGAGGCAGTCAACGCCTGATTTGGAATCCAAAGCTCTTTCAGTTGTTCATCCGTAAAATCATCAGAAATATTACTAACAGTGCATCTTGCAGCAAAACTAGGGCACTTTTTTTGTTCTGGCTTTAAAGGAACTGACTTAGTAGTAGTTTCTTCATTTCCATAATCTATATATCTTACAAGCAACGTACCATTTTGTATGGATAACACATATGCTCTATACCATACATCATCAGATGGAGACTGAGTTCCAATGATCTCACCAGCTACTGGGCTGAAAAATAGAAAATAATCACTCAAAAATGTTTGTTCACTTTAATAAGTTTTTTTCATCAGAAAAACATTTCATTTTGCTTTAATATCTCCCCCCACCAAAAAAAGTTATTCTTTTTTCCAACATAAAAAATTCAAGGCTTGATTTTATAATTCTCATATTGTATAGATCCAACTCTTTGACATTCCACCATACCACTCTAAGCATGAACGCAAATGTTCTAGTTCTAAGCCTATAAACCTACAGTAATATTACACAAGTTAACATTTTCCTACACTGATAGATACTTACCGTCACTCAACTAGCACTGCCCTCTATTGGCACAAATTTTTAAACCATGTCACTAGCCTTCCACCTCCCACTTCTGCATATCCATGCGCAAATAATTATGCAGCAGCTCTCCACCAGTAGGAGCACGACACTACTCCTATCGTAACCAGCGCCCTCTTCATATCTGCACTCATTAATCACTTGGATATTGGTCAGAAGACCTACACCATATATCATCAGAAGTGAGGAAGGTGGGTGGGAAATGTGAGAGGAGGTAAGTATCTATCAGGAATACATCAGGGTTTGCAGTCAGTGCCAGTACTGGTTTATAGTATATCATATGTTGAGAATAATATCTGTTGTCACATGTCCCATCTTCGGAGTTTTGACCAAACACCTCTTCTAGTATTTCAGCTTCGATTTTAACAGAAATATAAATGTTTGATGTGGTAGTTTTGAGTTTATACTTCAGTTAATGAGCAAATCTCACCATGAAAATCGGCAATAGCATTAAATATGGAAAACTGATGACTCCTACACTCTGGAAAAGAATGTGAATGTGCCTATGTGACTAGCTGCACATTAGGTAGGTGTGTGCATGATTAACCCTTAGCATGCAGGCAGGTCATACTGCACATGTCACAGTGTTTTAGTGAGTTACATTCAAAATTTAATTAAACTATGTAATTATCATGATATACAAACAAACCTGACATCAAACCATAGATAATAAATCAAATTTTAATATCACAGAAGTTTTAAGTTCTTAACTGTTATTTAATAAACAACCTCAAATTCCCCTAGTGTGAGAATTTGGATATTTGTTCTTGACCTGTCTCCTCTTCTAGATTTTTTTGTCCATGCCCTAAAAATGTAATGTAAAATATTCTACAGGTACACCACCGATTTTCCGGCACACCTGGTTCCAGAACCTTGCCACATTATCCGTTTTGCTGGACCAACAGAGGTCACGTAATAATAATAATTCAACAATACACCTTTGATCCACTAATTACACCCCTCCCATGTCTCTAAAGCACCATGAACAGTTAGAAAATTAATTAAATAACACAAATATTAAATGTAAAATACATGTGAATGAAATGATTAATGAAATTCCACGACTGTCACTTGGACCTTGCTTAGAAGCCATAACTAGGGTTAAAATGTAAGCAAAATAAGCTATAAATCACACAAAACTGAGGGGTCACCACTAACTGCAGATGTAAACTATTAACTCTTTCGGGATGGAGGCACATGAGGCAATCTTTAAATTATATCTGTTAACATAAATAAAAAATTTAATTAAACAACTTTCTTTAAATACTTTTTCAGTAAAATTGTTATTTTCAAGTTATATTTTGAATTTTCATACACTAATATTAACATTCTGTGTTTCAAAAAATTGAAGAAAAAAATCAAAACTAAATATTTGTATCTTGTTAAACTACATATCCTTAGCAACATTCATGAAAAAATTCAAGCAATTTGATCCACTAGTTTAATATGTAGAAGAAAATTTTCAAGAAAGTGATGTAACTACTTAAAATGTAAGTAGGCCGTCCCGAAAGAGCACACGCCACAGGTAATACCATCTGTGGCCGTCCAGTGAACTAATCTGGCAATCGCAGGAATTTCAAGTGTACTCTCATAATTTTGTCCGGATTAAAGGATGTGCCGGACCATCAGTTGCCGGAAAATCAGTGGTGTACTGTGTATAATTTTGTCATCCATATTCTGAAACTATATTTTTATATTCTTCAATCTTATGGGGCTAAAGAGCAATCAATGAAAATTCAGAAACCACTTTCCACACCTCTGACATGCTCTAATTTACAATTTGCTAATAGATTTTTCTCAGGCTGACTCCAGTTAAATTTATAACCAATAGAAAATCAAGATTTAAACTGATTCATTGCCATAGTCGTCATACCACGCGAGTTTACAGATAATTGACAATTTGGTTTATCGTGAAAAAAAATTTTCCCACAAGAACAATCTGCAAAGAATAGTTGAATTTATAACTGCTCAAGTGAAATGATTACAGATGCTCAAATACTGATACCAGCAACCTGTTACTGCTGGTATTATTGCAAACCCTGAAATACATTTTTAGTGTAGAAAAATGCTAACTCTTCATACTTTTGCTTACCTTCACTCACAAAATAGCTAGAATGCTGGAGGGCTGATAAAAAAAATTCATCCCCCTTTAGGAAGTGCCCAAAGAGAGACCAGGAGGTGTGGAACCAAAACAGAAAACATCACACCTCTTCGCTCTTTTATGACTGCAACTGGGACAAATGTTTCCCATTGTCATTCAAAATTGCCACGTGTGATGTATGGGAATAAAATGAGTTGGAAAGTATTTATTGGTGTCCTACTTAATTTTGATATATATGGTTTCCCTCGATGTTTTTCACTCAGCCCTTCAGTAACCAACAAGATGCCCAAGCAAAATGTACTAAAACTGCATGTCAACCGTGCCTGCATCACTAGAGCGACAGGAAGTAACCCTAATTATTATGTAAATATGCTTGATGCGCTTGACTCAGATAGTTAGAAGATAGTGAAATTGAGTCAAGTGGTGTTCAAATGTGTGATGATGAAAAAGCAATGAGACAAGAGGATGCTTGCTCTCCATTTAGTGGTGATAGTCAAGATGATGAAACTGGACCCAGCAGAGGAAGGCATAAAGAGCATCGATAATGGGAAACATTTGTCCCAGTTGCAGTGTGAGGGGGGATGGGAGAACTGGGAAATATAAGTTCCAGCCACGGTGAATGGGTTAGCAGAATGAAAATGTTATTAATATGAATACATGTGAATCTACTGAAATAATCAAATATGAAAAAAGTAAATTTAAAATACTGAATTGGGATGATGGACATGATGGAAATGCTGTCAGCAGATGTCATGAAATTCTTTAATATACAAATTGTATTACGGTGATTTTGTTGTAAAGGTATAAATAAGTGTGATTCCTGCAAAACATTGCACTCCTGAGATGCAACAGTAAATACGTCGAAACAGATTGATTGTATGAGACTGTTTCCAGCCTCACTGGGGTTTTTCTTTTATCCTGTTTAGTAAGGTATTTAGTTGGTATTTCATTGTATTGTGTATAATAAATCAATGTTTATTAAAAAGTGAGTTTTTAACACTAAGCATTTATACAAGTACCAATGAATTTTAATGGATATAGTTTGTAATTGTCTTTAGTGCACCTATAGCAATATCATAATACCACTTTTATATTTCCCCTATAGCTGACTGTGTACAATTGCATTGCCATGATTACACAAGATTATGCTAAAGCCAAAAATAATTCACTCATGGCAGCATTGCCTTGTTGGGGATTATACATAGGTGCTAAATATATCATCTGTCATATCACAGTTCACATTGTAACAACAGATCACTGCATAAGCATATGCTTAGTTTTTATAAAGGGTGACTAACCCTCCAGAATAAATAACTCAAAAATCTTTTCCTTTTAGTAGTAATCTATAAATGTTCAGTGAATTAGTTTCAAGTTTTATAGAAGTAGTTGCAGCAATTAGACATCACTTTTAATAAAGTACTATAGAGCTCAGCTGTGTCACAAAATTTAAGAACAACAGAGAATAGTAATTTACCTGTAGTTTGGGTCGCCTGATGATACAAGGTATTCATTTGCAAGTTCCTCTTGCACTTCACAAACAGCTTGTACAACTTCTTCATCTACAATTGCCAACCACATTTCTTTCTTTTCGGTATCTACCACAGTAATAATCAATTGTACAACTTGCCCTAACTTCAATTTTTCTATGACTGTACCATAAGGAACACTAGGTAATCTGTAATTTGAAAGAAAAACACTAGTTAATAGTCACATGGCATAATTATAATCAGAACACATAAAAGTTTAATTAATAACAATTTTTACAATTCTATGTTTAAATACATTTATACCCTTTTTTATTTAGATAAAGTGCTACTGTAACACTAAACAGAAATATCACTGTCATGATATACATGATATACATCTCAAACATTATTAACTGATTAATAAACAAAGATTTGTTCTATTCAGAAAAATGTTAAAAAACCAAATTAAAGGTATGTTATTGAAAGCACAAAATATACTACTTTAAATACAGGTTTCCTATTCAAGGATAAGTTCTTTGTGTGATATCATGTACTCTTGTAAGATGCATAATTATAAACACACAATAAATGTCTAGAATCTTCAAGACAAAATTCAACTTTTTTTTGTAACAACATACATTTCAGTAGCTTCTTGGGTTTCTTCAGGAATATTTGCTTCAACTGCTGGTGCATCAGGCTTTGGAGGTCCTGTCACACTTGGTTTTCTCATGGCAAGTTTTCCCATCAATAACAGGTCTGACACTTTGTTCCCTTAAAGAAATATATACAAACAAATTTGTATCTTTCACTTTCAAAACATCTGACAGAAGTAAAATATTCATGCTGATAATCATATTTTGAGTACAGCTTTCTTCCCCAGTATGGCTCTTAATTTATTCATTATGCACATTGCAAAGATTATTTGGACCAGTACAAGTCACTACCTAGGAGGTCGTTGGTTTAATATCAACATTTGTCAGCTAACCAAAAGTAAACAGTACCTAAAGTAAAGATGCACTTAAACACAAGAAAAACAATGGTCTTTTATTCTTCAGCAAAACCTGTGGGAAAGGTTACTTTACAGAAGTTAGCATGCTTTATAACATAGTTTAAAACAAATCCCCCTTGTGGCATGTGGATCAGAGGTTGATTTTCAAAATAACACCCATTTTTGGTCTATGATATCTCAACAAACAGTCTAAGTTCAAACTACTAATGCAGCTGAAACAAAATTGCAACTCTGGATTGCCCAAGATTCTTTGGCATGAAGTCTGCACTTATATCTACTCAAAAGGTGTACAAGACATAACTGTACATTGTGTAACATGGGTGTTCCTTGAGCAAATAAGTCCTATTTTCCTGTTACATTCCATGTATAACATGTTTCCCAAGAATGCATTTTAAAAGTAACCCTTCTTAACTGATTTGGTGTGAATCTACAAATATATTAAGGATATTTCTTAAATTAAGATCATTAATTATTAATAATCCATTATAAGGATTTAACAACAAATGCTATTTTCTAAAAACAATTCTCAAAAATACAAATACAGCTTTATTTCTGTAGAGGCTTATTTATCTATAATATATAACTTATAAACAAGTAATTATAAACAAGAAAAAATATCATACATATTCTTTTACACGATTATTCTAAGTAATTGCTAAATTTCACTGATAAGTTTTTAAGTGTTGAACAATGTGTATTTATGTCATTTATCTAACTCTGAGTTTTATAGGCTGAAAGTAATATTTAACTGTACATAAAAAATACAACTTGTGTATAAAACTGTATTCATTACTTGCATGTTATTAAAATTTCAGTGAATAACATGTTCAGTGATAAAAACAAACAAACAGTATTTCATCTTTAGATACTAGAATACCTTTGATATATATATATACAGGGTGAGGTAAAAGTCACTATACAGTTATATATATAAAGTATGCAACTGTATACTGACTTTTGCCTCACCCTGTATATCAAAGTCACTGTGATAACATAAATCAAATAGTTTGAAAATTAATCTGAGAACATTACTAATCATTGTGAAAAAAAATTTCCATATGAAAGTGTAATTCACATATTATTCAATTACAAAAGTTTCTGTACAACTCTGACATCTGCTTCAACATAATAAACCTGCTACCCGAGTTTGATACTTCTACTATACAGCTGAATGTTGAAACCTGAAGCATTTACAGGCTATAAGGTCAGAACATCTAAAAATTAAGATGTCTGAACAAGAACATTTTTCTCCACATTCGTTAAAAAGTATGCAACACCATACATACACAATCAAGAGTTTATTGTTGTGTTTTTTAAGATTTCTCATTCTTTCATATGAGGTTGGGAATATGTAATACAAATGATTCAGACAAAGAAATTATTTTGTTTGTATTTTCTTTTTAATCAGCTTTTCCAAAATAAACCTGATTTTGGGGTAGTCTAGAAGAAAAAAAAAGAGAAATTGAAACCTCAATCAATGAGGGCAATTAAGCATTGTGTTTAATAAGTTTAACTTTATATACATGCTTATTAGAAGTTTCTCCAATCTACTTAAGATAGATACTGCTAATTAGTTCACCAGTTAACTCTTTCACTACTGACTCAGTGGATTACACTGACTACATGGTATTGTGTATTTTCACAAACATTTTCAAGATTTTAGTGAATGCTAGAAGACTTTTGTCGACCAAAAATCAGAATTTTTAATCAAGTATTTTTACTGAAACTTTGTCCATAAATATATGGAGTCAGAGTGTTGACTGCTCTGACTGCAAAGTGATATTTATATTAAGATTAAAGATACTTTTTTCATCTAAAATTTTCCAGTTTCATTTGCATAACCTCTAAAACCTCCTAAATAAATATAAAAGGTTTCTTCTTCAGGCAGGGAAGTAGTACATTCCCACATTACCGAGGAATTTAACTTAGTTATGACCAATGAAAGTGAACATATTGCATGGATTAAATAAAAAATTATTCATGAGGAAATACATTAGAAATTTTACTTAATTTTATTGCTTGAATTATTCTTGAATAGTGACTGACTAATACTCCCAACACATAAGTTGTAAATCCTTCAGCAAATGTGCAGCTCACGTTACTATATCATACAGTGTAACACACGAGTTGCTTGCATGCATACCTTGTCAAGAACTTTTATTTATTTTTTTCTGTTTTACTAATTTAACCTTCTCTAACCTAATAATTTTCTAATTTTCACATTTAATTACTATAATAAATACATAATGCACATAAAACACAAGAAATACAGTATTTACCTGGGTCTTTTATTTTTGCTGTCGATGAAATTTAAGTCTACTTTTTTTATACTAATGGTACTACTACAATAAATAATTTTCATTCAATTAAATAATGAACATAAGAACACAGAATAACAACATGTAAAAAAAATGTCCTATAACTATCAAACATTTTCTGGCTTTCTAACTATGCAATAAGAGCCTTTAAAAATTCAGCTAAGCTTGTTAATGTAATTCCTGTGAGAAAAAGTTCCAAATTGAACAAAATAGACAATGCTCTATACAGAAAACAACATAATACATCACTTGATAGATTCAAACTTTGGCTTTCTATTGGTTATAAATAATATCGTATAAAGCATCACAGAGAACTGCTGGCAATTTGTGAAAGAGATGATCTGATGAGTAGGCATGGCAAGTGGGTCTGATTGAAAGCTATAAAAATTATGCTTTGCATAAGTAATATCTATATTATATTAAGTAATTTACATTAAATTCAGTACTTCTTGAATGGGTGGTAAATAAATTAAAGTTGAGGGAAGATTTTGAAAACTAAAATGTCACAGTTCTCATAATAGTGAAGATTGTGGATTTTTTAAATATTTCTTTATAAATTTAACAACTTAAAATTTATATGAGAATAAAATTTGATTTATTACCTCCACCACCAAAAGAAAATAGCACACTACTTATACAGATCAAAATAAAAAGGCTGTAAACAAATTCTCTGGGCTAATGATTGGGAATATGCATGTTACCTACCATGCTGATCAATCAATTCAATTTCAGATATACCACTTGGGGTGATTTGAATCAACTCTATGTGGAAAGAGTTTCCATTCACTAGTGTTGCAAAAGTTGTTACAACATCATCACTCCATGTATCAGCATCACCAACTGGTACAATATTTGGCAAACAACACTTGATAGCCTGAAATGTAATTTAAGTACAATATATTTTTCTAAACAAATCATTTTTTAAGAGTCCAAATGTACATAGAACTAAAAATTAAACAAAGCCAACATATTTCATATGAAAATTTCAAAGAAAAGTGAATATAAGCTGTGTAACAATTAATACCAGTCAAGAATATACAGGAATAATAAATATAATTTACTTATCAAGTTTAGAGCAAAACTGATATAAATGCTGTACTAACAAACTTCCAATTTAATAACGAAGATACAGAATAAACAAGACTTTCTAATTTCATAATTTTTTGAAAATGCCATAAAAAACTAACAGTGTTCATAAAAGACACAGAACATACACTGTATTTTAATGCATCATCAGTTTCATTAAATCAAATAATAGTCAAGATTTGAACCAGAAGTTTAACAGGACAAGGTTTAATAGTTCGGCAGAATTCAGCTAATCTTTTTCCTCTTTTTAATTAGGCTAAAAAATACACAATCTGACTTTAAACTTTGGCTTGAAAAATAGGTTCCACTAGAGGAAAGACCTGATAAGGTGCAGTGCATGTGCTATTAATATCCTCTTCATACAGTGGAAATTTTGTACAAACTTTCTAAATTCTATACAGTACCTGCTTTAAGAGAAAATTCATAATTTGATTTAGCATTTCTATAATTTTCTTCGCTATGACATTTCCAAAACTTTGATGTAAAACAATATATTGAAAGAAAAAATCAAAATACTTACATTTATTTCAGAATTAAAATATTATTTATTAGGAAATTCCATTTCATATACTTCGTCAATTTTAACTTTTTGGATGTTTAATAATATATTACTTTTGGTTCTTTATTTTGCCAACTGAAGCAGTCAGCTCTTCCAACTATAAATCATAAAAAAAAAGAAAAATTGAAAAAAGTTTTCAGTGAACTACAACCTCATCTTTTAAAATGATGTCATTGTTACCATTACCGGACTAGGTAACATGATTTTTGTCAACAGTATTCTCGTTTGAGATCAATTTATATACAATAAATATAGTCTGTTTTCAACAAAGAATAAGTTAAGTTCTTTTATTTTTGTTGTTTCAGTCTGATAAATTTAACAATAATATTCAATAAAAGAAAAAGGATTTTATACACTCAAAGTTTACCATTGTTTAATATAATCACTAAACCTAACTTACCTGTTGACTTGTCATAAATAAAATGCCTGCAGCTTTCAAACAGGCATTATTTACCAGAAGAAAAAAAAAAAATAGGTACAAAATCAACATCAAAAGAAACTACAAAACAACCTCCAGGTCTTTGGCTTATTCCTATAAATATTGTAAACTTAGCATTAGAATCATCTGTTTACCCCTACTAGATTTCCAAGTAACTAATATGCAGACAAACTACAAATTACTGCTAAATCTACTTTACACTGAAATTGATAGTCTAGTCTCTTTTATCCAGTCATTTTTAGCCACTGATTCTAGCTACTTTCAAAGCTGAGACATCATAAAAGATTGGCAAAGAAAGACTATAGTAACAAAACCACTAATAGAAACACATGTGAAAAAAAGATACGAATTATTACATTTAAGGAATGATAACTTCTTAGCAAATATAATCCTAAACATTAAGGTGATTAGAAAATATTGACGGACATTCTTTACTGATGAGACTCCTTCAAGCTGCACAGAAATGAAAGTTGGAATGTTTAATATTTTTTTCTGAATTACACAAATAAATATTATCCATATATATGTAAAGAAAAAATTTGAGTTTGTTTGTACCCCAGCTCCTCCAAGCCTATTGGGCCAATCTCAACCAAAATTTGTATGTAAACAATATGAACTACAGGGAATGTCCTAAGGGGGTCAAAATTGAACTTAACCCTATTTCTATTTTGTAAAGCCTGTTGGTTAATTACTCCCAGCCAACTGAGTCAACCTCAAACAATCTTGGCAGAGTGATGCTTTATACAACTTTAAATATTCAAGGTCAAAATAAGAAAGTTGTTGGATTGTTTCCCAAACAACCATGCTTTTCTCATGGTCAAGGAGATGTAGGGTGTTCAAGGGTGGGATCACCTCAAAATCTTTATTTGTTAGTAGATGGAAAGCAAACTGCAAATGTTGTTTATGAAGAAGCTTTGTTATATATTTAAGATTTTCAGATGAAGTTTATGTTAAATTTATTACTTTGAAATAGATAATTGCTGTAAAACATACATTGTTGCATTTATACATAGTGTGATATCCAAGTCATTAGTAGAGAAAAGAAAATTAGGATAAGTACAAAAGTGAACATGCTAACAAAGGTTCAAGACACAACCAGGAAGATCACGTAGTCTATATATTTAAGCAGTTTGGAACAAAACATGTATTTTGGAATGTCGATAAAGTGAAACCAACAATAACACATAATACTATTTGACTTCTTAAATACCATTGATAAATTGATGAATATACTGATTTTACAGTAAAATAGTCACAATGTTATACCACTCATTAAAAAACAAAAATAATCACATGTTCCAAAGAACCAAGGTAAGACAAAGAGGGATATATATATATATATATACTAAAAAATTGAAGATTATTCTATTACTCAGTGACAGTCTTGCTCTAGCTCAAAACACTAGGTAAAAAAGTACAGTTGACTTCTTCATAATTTCAGCCTATCAGTAATAAATGCCTTTCATAATATATCTTGAGTGTAAAGCTCATTTGGCTACTTAAAACAAAAAATTTACTCAATCATACTGAATTTAAAAAACCTTGAATTTCTTTTAGCATATAGAATTTTTATAAATGCTGTACATCACTGTTAAGTCAGGGCTCATTTTTAACGATTGCCCAAAATGACTAAAAACTGCCACAGATGACCAACTTAAACCCCCCATATTGTGCGATGAAGGACTAGCACACTGGAACAGACACTTACTCAAAACAGCATCGCAGTCTACACTTGTAATGTTGACTCTGATCCTAGACCTTTTTTTTTTTGTTAAAAAAAAATTGTACTACGTACAAGAGAAATGCTGGTACAATCCATCAAAAGGGGCTGATAACATTAGGAAAAGTTAGCTTTCTGGTTGGCTAATAATGCTATTTTAGTCATTAAATTTTCTATTGTGGAAAAGCTGCACATAAATGTTTTATGGAGTACAACTAAGCATGAATGGCTGTTTGTGGTAACATAGTACAATGTATACAACTCAGTTAATTACATTAACACACACTTTTTTTTTAACAAGTTACAGCTTTTACAATAAGATTTATTTTTAAAACAGGCATGACATTTCAATCAGTGATACAATCATTCTCAAGTACACAAGTTTTAATTAGGTAAGAATGTTTAGTATTTAAATCAACATTCAACATTGTTAAAATTAATTTATTATATATATATATACACACACACACACACACACACACACATTTCATCAGTAAGTAAACTCAAAACAAAACTATTACCACATATTCTATTGCAAGGTGTTTGTATACGTATATATGGGCAAGCGGGAATTTGCAACAAAAGCTAATTCTGATAACACAAATATTTAGTGATATTAGTTTCTAGTATAAACGCTTATGACAACAAAACTAACATGGCTGTCTCAACTTCTTACCAACAAACCTTAGGTAGGAATTAAAACAATCAAATTTACAGAATCAAACTAAGAATTTTCATTGTTAATCATCACAGTGGAAACACTGACCCCCTTTTGATTATGCACGTATAGGTCTAAGGCTAACGTTAGACAGACACGACCAATCGAGTCTAAGAAATACAGAATATCTAGCTATTATGAGAAAAGCTGTAAGATCCACAAATTATACAGAACTCAATAATAATAACTGCAACCAAAATTTTATGAAAGTTTGATCAATACGAAACAGAATAATAAATAAAATAAGGCTAGCTTTGTCACTCTCCAGGTGAATACAAACTATCAGTACAAACAACAATACATAACAGAGGTGTGTGTGTGTGTGTGTGTGTGTACACATGCAGCACTCAGGCATTGTGTAGTATGTGTGAGGAGTTCTGATGCATGTCCAGTCTTACTACAGGCCATACTCTACTGTACTTGGCATGTAGGCCAAGTTGGTTAGAATGAAAACATTTAACATGACTGGCTTAGATCACTGTTCTGTTTAGAAGTTTTACAGGTTATTGACTGTTTGTTTCCTTAAGATACTATGTAACATTAACATATTTTGGGTAATGGTAATGAAACTTCCCAGGAAATAAAGCATCAAAAATTAGTTGAATAAAGTTGCAAAATTGCCAACTAAATATTAATTGTACTTTTTAGAAATAAACAAGATATAAAAATATCAAAGTTCTTGTAATTGGGTCTTTTTGAGGGTCTTTGTACATCAATATTATCTTAATTAAATCTTTTTTGAGGGTCTACGTTTTGTTTTTGTTTTTTTCAGACAACCAATACAGCCTTCGGAGAACCTCATATACAAATTAGGTTATCCTTAGGACAACCTGAAAATTTCCTTAAAATCAATCCCTGTTTAAGTCAATAAAAGAGCATCTGGAATAATAAAATACATAATTATGAGTACCTATTTTTCAACACTGCATTTAGCTTAACATTAGCAATGAACTTCTTAAAATGTTAGTTTCAAAAAATATTTAAGTGAAAATTATGTAAATAAGTGGTATTTACATCCTTTATTCAGTCACAGTTTTTTTAAACACATTCACTGGCATATGTATGATGTTTTTAGTTGTCTTCTAATCACAAAATAAAACTATTTGTACAGGATCTTAAGAATATATACCATTTATATTACTAATTTATCCTTCTGAATTATTTATCATGTAGCTTTTTAAGATACTAAAATTAACATGAAGCTCAATTTATCATTCAATTTACCACTTGTCAGTGAATTATACTGATGGTAACAAGTTTTATATCCTGCCAGTGAAGATGTGTTTAGAATACCTAATATAATGTTAGTTCTCAAGATTAGTGAGGCACACTTACTTGGGCAGGTACCTTGGCTAATTCTGCAGGAAGAGGCTTTAAGTCGTTTTTGCAACAATAATCTGTATTACCATAATCCAGGAAATACACAGAATAAATACCTTTTTTCAAAACCTGTAAACAAAAAAGTTAAAAACAGTTTATTTAAGCAATAAGATAAATAAAACAATTCAATACTAAATTTTGAGAGAAATAAAATACTACAACAATAATGGAAACAGGGTATTACTTCAGCAATAAACAACACAAGGAAGCTGGAATATTTCAACAACAAAAGTCAAGATAATTTTTTTTGAACTAAAGATGGAAAGGAGTTGTTAAAAAATGGAGAAAGAAAATTTAATACAAAAAAAAATAACATTTAAGTGATTACCAAGAGAGAAGCATGCATCAATAGCAAAACATTTATAGACTCATCAACAATGAACAACATGTAGACTTTTTCCTAACTTGTTAACTCTTCCACTGCTAACTTCAAGAATCTACATATTTCTGTGCATAGTCCCAGTGGCTAACTATGAGAATCTTCAGTTTTTCACCCACACTAAAGTACTGTACATGTTGTGCCACCTGTCAGTGGAAATGGGCATTTTGAAAAATCTGTTATTCAGACTTCATTTTATTTTCTTCATCATGGTAGTTTTGTACTTTGTATGGATAATACAGAATTGAAAAGATGACTTTTTAGCTTGATTCCAGGACTACTAAGATGACAGCACCCATGAAATGAGCTTCGCATCATTCTGCGGAAGACATTTTGCAGGAAATAATCAATGATGAGGACTCTAAATCCAATCGATTTAGTGATAATTCAGATGCAGAAGATGTAAAGAATTCCCAGGAATGTAGTATAGATGATGACAATAAAAGTGACTTGAATAATAGCAATGACTCGAGTGATGTGGACATGGATGGTATAAATGCACATGCCAATCCATGTAGGCCTAATATTAGCAGTAATAATGGTGCTACAGCTGGTCCTGCACAAGCACCTATGTGTGGGCAACATCATCCCTATGGTAATCAGGGCAGAAAAAATGAAAATCAGATGGGGGGGGGTGGACTAATGTAGACAGACCTCCACATATGCATCAGTTCACTGGTACTCCAGGTGAAAACATACAGCCAGATAATACAGAGAGCTGCCTTTAATGGTTCAAACTGTTTATTACTGATGAACTAATAGACAATGTTATAAGAGAGATAAATCTTTATGCTGTACAGTTTTTCCAGGAACACCAAGATTTAAAAAGATATTCCCGTGCTAGACAATGGAAGGATTTGATTTCTGACAAACTTTGGCTCTCTTTGGCACTTCTCTTCAATACAGGGACTGTAAAAAAAGAAAAAGCCAGAGATTCAGATGTACTGGTGTAATGATAAAAAAAAAGCTACCCCATTTTACCCTCAGACTATGGCAAGGGATAAATTTCTACTGATACTGCAGTTTCTCCACTTCAATGACAACAATGCACTTCCAATTCGTCCAATTTACAATTATATTGTAAACAAGTTCAAAACTTATATACCCCACAGGAAAAACTGTCCCTAGATGAAGAAATGCTCAAATGGTGAGGTCAAGTAACATTCTGTGTTTACAATCTGCAGTGTTTACAGTGAAAATTATCTCCACACTTCATGATTCCAGGATGGAGGACTCTGGCAAGAAATACATGGGCAATCAGCCCAACCAAAAACCAGCTTGTGTGCTTGAATACAACATACACATATCTGACATTGACATACTTGATCAAATGACAAAATATTAACCTTGTACATCAAAAACAATCAAGTGGACCAAAGCTACAGTATGTCCTTGGACACCGAAGACTGATCTTGCCACACGTCTAATTGGTGAATTCAAATAACATTACTTGGTGGCCATACTACCAATAAATAAAAAGAAATACCTTACTAATCCATGCAGAGTATGCAAAATAAATGGTAAACACTCAGAAATGAAATTTTATAATAAGAGATGTGAAGTCCTGCTCCACCCAAGGGGGAATGGTACAAAAGATACCATGTTTATACTCATTTCTGAACAGAAAAGGCATTCCTACATATGTACATAAATATTCATTACTGTGAAACACTGAAGGTATTATTATATGAAGTGATAAGGTG